TGTCATGTCTTTTACTATTTTTTTTTTTTTATTTCTTAGTGGTTTCCTTGGGGATTATAATGAACATCTTAACCATAACAGTGTCATTCAGATTAAATACCAACTTAATTTCAATAGTATACAAAAATTTCTCCTGCATAATTCCATCTCCCCCTTTTTTGCTATTATTGTCATCCAGAGTACATTTTTATATGTTGTATGCCTATTCACAGAGATTCATAGTTTATTACTTTATGCAATGGTCTTGAAATCATCTTGGAGAAAAAAGAGTTAATTAATCTACTTCTGTGTTTACCTGTGTAGTTACTTATTACTTATGTAATGTTTATTTTTTCATGTGGATTTCAATTATTGTCTAATGTCCCTTCATTTTAGCCTGAAGGACTCCCTTAACATTTCTTAGAATAAGTATGCTAGGATAAATTCTCTCTGTTTTTTTTTATATGGAATGTGTATATTTCTTTTTCATTTCTCAAGGATAGTTTCACTGGATATTGAAATCTTGGTTGACAGCTTTTTCTTTCAGCACTAAATATATCATCCCACTGTCTACTTTCTCCATGGTTTTTGGTGGATCTTATTTAGGATCCTTTGTAAATGATGAATCACTTCTCTGTTGCAGCTTTCAAGGTTCATCCTTTGTCTTTGGCTTTCAACAGTATGATTATGATGTGTCTAAGTACGAGTCTCTTTGCGGTTATCCTGCTGGGAGTTCATTGATATTCCTGTATGTGTAGATTAATGTTTTTCATCAGATTTGGGAAGTTTTCAGCCATTATTTCTTCAGACGCTCTTTCTCTCCTCTCCTTTTGTGACTGTCATTATGCATAAGTACGTATACTTGATGGTATCCCACAGACCTTAAAGGCTTTGTTCATTTTTCTTCATTTTTTTTCTTTCTGTTCCTCAGATTGGATAATCTCAGTGGATTTATAGTCAAGTTTCTGGTTCTTTTTGCTGCCTGTTCAGATCTGCTGTTGATTCACATCAGTGAATTTTTCATTTTAATTACTATAATTTTCTACTGCAGAATTTATTGGTTCTTTTTTTTTAGAAGTTCTCTCTTTATTGGTATTCTCAATTTGATGAGACATTGTTTTCCTACTTTCTTTTAGTTCTTTAGATATGGTTTCCTTTAATTCTTTGAATATATTTAAAATAGCTGATTTAAACTCTGCCTGGCTTTCCTCAGGGACAGTTTCATACATAATTTCTTTTTTTTCCTGTGTAAGGCCCATACGTTCTTCTTTGTTTGCATGTCTCATAATTTTTTGTTAAAAACTGGACAGTTTAAATAATATAATGTGGCAACTCTGGAAGTCAGGAAATCTCCCTCCTCTGCATGGGTAGTTGTTATTTGTTTACTCTTTTGAACTAATTCTGTAGTATCTTTATCCTTTGTCATGTGTGGCCACAGATGTTAGTTAGTGATAAGCTAACAGTTGGACAGAGATTTCCTTAAATTCCTGTAACAAGTAAATCTCCCAGTCTGTGCCAAGAGGCTATTTGTGTAGGGGGTACTTCTTCAATAGTCATCCTAGCAGCTTACAATTTCACGTTAACCTTCACTTTCTTCTTACACAGAGCATCAAGGTTAGCAAGAGGTGAAAGTTTAGGGCCTTCTCAGGTCTTTCCTCAGCATGCATACAGTCCTGGGCATGTCCACGGCTTTCTAGAATCCCAGGAATATGCCTAAGCTTTTAAAACTTCTGTGGACTTCACATTCTCAAGATTTTCCTTTTAAACTTTTTGGTTAGATTATTGTTTGCTTTATGGTTACGTACTGCCTCAGGCAGCCATTATGTTAAAAAAATTGCCTATTTTTTCTTTTGACTAACATACTTTGGAGAAAATGCTATTTATGGTGGATGAGCGCTAAGTCAGGCCAAATAAAGACAACCTTGTGAGGTAGGTCTTTCAAGGAACCAGCAGACAGGTCAGATAATGACAGTTCTCCGGGAATGGGGCTGATCATCTGTGAAGCCTCAGCCTTAGGCAAGAACTGTGAACTTGAGTCTCAGGGTTCTGTGACTTAGAAGAGGTAGGGGAGATGGGTCTGGGCAGTCTTTGGTAGTGGCCAGTTTTGCCCTCCCCCTGCTGCAGTGGGATTCCACCAGTGCCCTAAGGTTATGTGTTCTGAGAACTTTCTGAACCTTACAGATTAAGTGTTTTGTTCTGCGGTGAAGAAAGGCAATATGGGTCTGGATGGATTTAGACAAGGACTGTTCTTCCCCTACTCTAGCCAACACCATCGGGGTAGGGGAGACCTTCCTCTGGATTCTCCCCAGTCCTCTCTGTGACATCCCGGTTGGGTTTCCTGGTGAAAAATCCCACAGGAGGGTGGAAATCCTCTTATGTGTGCAGTCACCCAGGGGCTTCACACTCACACTGGTCCACAGTTGGCCTTTAGCAAGTTGTTAAAATTTTTCTAATTTTATCTTCCTGTTGGCTTATATGGAAACCTTTGTGGGGTAGTGGTTAAGAGTTTGGCTGCTAACTAAAAGGTTGGCAGTTCGAATCCACCAGGCGCTCCTTGGAAACCCTATGGGGCAGTTCTACTCTGTCTTGTAGGGTTGCTATGAGTCAGAATCGACTCGGCAGCAACGGATGTTGGCTTATATGGGGTCCTGGTGGCACAGTGGTTTAGCGTTTGGCTGCTAACCAAAAAGTCAGCAGTTCAAATCCACTAGCTACTCCTTGGATACCCTATGGGACAATTCTACTCTGTCCTATAGGGTCGCTATCAGTCAGAATTGCCTCAACAGCAACGGGTTTGGTTGTTTTCGGTATTGGCTTATATGGAGTTCAGTGGTGTCTGCTCTAGGCAAGCAAAGGAGCAGGCCCTGAAGATTTCAGATTGGTTGTTTTCCATGCAACCACAGTTCTCTGATGGGTTCAAGAAAAGTCATTAACTTTCAGTTTGCCCAGCTTTTTTTATCTTGTAAAAGTGTTACTGTTGCTCTTTTCAGCTGTCTACATCACTGAATTAAAACCAAAAACCACATATGATTTTAATTTTTTTTAATTTGATGAGGCTTGTTTTAATATGCAAAGTGTACCAGAAAATAATTTGTATTATGTAGTAGTTATCCTACATATGTCAGTTAGAATTGGTTAATTATATCATTTGAATCTTTTGCATCAGCAGTCAGCAAACTTTTTCTGTAACTGTCAAATCTTAATCTTTGTGGGCTATACGGTCTCTGTTGCACCTACTGAACTCTGCAGTTGTAGTGCTGTAGCAGCCATAGATAATACATAAATAAACATGGCTGTGTTCCGTATTTTATTTGCAAAAAACAGGTGTTGGGTTGGATTTAGCCTTTGGGCTCTAGTTTGCTGACTTGTTCTATATTCCTACCGATTTTTAAAATCTGCTTCTCCTGTGAGTTACTGACAGATTTGTGTAAAAGTCCCTAATTGTGGATTTGTCTATCTCATTTCTGACATTTGTTTATATATTTAAAGCTGGGTTATCAGGTGCTGGTGCTTACAAATATAGATTTACTATATCTTCTTGTTAAAAAGGACCATTTTATCATTATAAGCTATTTATCTTTTATAATTCTTTCTTACCTTAAAATCTACTCTTTTTGGTATTAATATAACCACATCAACTTTCTTTTGGTTCATGTTCTTATTTTTTTACTTTAAATCTACATATATCTCCATGTATAAAATTTGGGTTTTGTTGTTTATATGCAGTCAGACTGTTTTCTTTAATTGGATTATTTAGTCCAGGATTTAGCAAATTTTTTTCTGTAGAGTCAGATAGTAAATATATTCATCTTTGAGGGATCTGCAATGTGTGGTAGAAATTCTCATCTCTGCTGCTTTAGTGCAGAGCAGCCATAGAAAATACGTAAATGACTAGACGTAACTGTGTCCCAATAAAACTTTATAAAAACAGCGGCAAGCTGGATTTTCCCACAGGTCATAGTTTGCTGGCCCTTGCCCTGGAGTATGCACAGGTAGTCTATTGGGGTGTAAGATGAAAATTGTAGAAAGTTTATTTACATATTTTTATATTTTGCTAAAAAAAAACTTTAACAAAAGTTTTACTAATATATGTGTTGATAGTACATGCATATAACTCAAATTATTATGTTATAAATATTTGTACTGATTGAGTACTTTCAAAGTATAAGATAAAATTACTCTCAAAGTAGGCATCCTATAATCATTTGCTTACAGAAAACGTGATAAGAATAGTTGTTCATTTTTAAATTTTTCTATTGTACTTTAGATGGTTTACAGAGCAAGCTAGTTTCTCATTAAACAATTAATACACATGTTGTTTTGTGACATTGGTTGCCAACCACACAACATGTCAACGCTCTCCCCTTCTCGACCTTGGGTTCCCCGTTACTAGCTTTCCTGTTCCCTCCTGCCTTCTCATCCTTGCCCCTGGGCTGGCGTGCCCATTTAGTCTCATTTTGTTCTATGGGCCTGTCTAATCTTTGGCTAAAGGGTGAACCTCAGGAGTGACTTCATTATTGAGCTATAAGGGTGTCCAGGGGCCATACTCTCGAGGTTTTTCCAGTTTCTGTGAGACCAGTATGTCTGGTTTGTGTGTGTGTGTGTGTGTGTGTGTGTGTGTGTGTGTGTTAGAATTTTGTTCTACATTTTTCTCCAGCTCTGCCCAGGAACCTCTATCGTGATCCCTGTCATAGCAGTCAGTAGTAGTAGCCAGGTACCATCTAGTTGTGCTGGACTCAGTCTGGTGGAGTCTGTAGTAGTTGTGGTCCTTTTGTCCTTCGGACTAATCTTTCCCTTGTGTCTTTGGTTTTCTTCATTCTCCCTTGCTCCTGACGGGGTGAGACCAGTGGAGTATCTTAGATGGTCGCTCACAAGCTTTTAAGACCCCCGACACTGCTCACCAAAGTAGAATGTAGAATATTTTTTTTATAAACTGTGCTATGCCAGTTGAGCTAGATGTAAGAATAGTTTTCGTAAGTATTTTCTGTGTCACCTAATTAAAGAGAAATGTGCTGTTACAGGCATCAGTGTCATTCAAGGACGTGGCTGTGGAGCTGACCCAGGAGGAGTGGCAGCACATGGGCCCTGCTCAGAGGACCCTGTACAGAGACGTGATGTTGGAGAACTACAGCCACCTCGTTTCAGTGGGTGAGCAGATAAGCATAACTTACCTATGTAATTCCTTATATAAAGCATTTCCTTTTTAATGGCCAGTACGTATGAACACTTTGTTTAGTTTAATGTTTTTAGGCTTTTCATTCAGGAGTCTAAAGTAACTGAACCCTTTTGAGGACTGGAACTTTCTAGTTTGTGTTGTGAACTCACTAGTGAGAGTTCAAATGAGCATCTTCAGGATGCAGCTTCTGAAACTGTATCTTCGTCTGCTTTTTGATATCAAAAGCTCATTCATCAGGCCTCAGTTGTCAGTTGTTCTCTGCTTATAGGGTACTGCATTTTCAAACCAGAAGTGATCTTCAAGTTGGAACAAGGAGAACAGCCTTGGTTCTTAGAGCAAGAATTCTCCAACCAGAGCTACCCAGGTGAGTTTCTGAGCTCTGGAAGACAGAATCCTGTAGTGGAAATAGGAGGGTAGTTAGACTTCATAAGGTCAGCTTAGAGGTGAACTCCATTGTTCTTCAGAACTTTTCGGAAGGCTGAAAAACACTAAAACCACCAATTAAGAAGAGTGATTAATTTGACTACATTAAAATTAAGAACTTTATTCATAAAAGATGCCATTAAAAGGGTGAAAAAACAAGCCACAGAGTGGAATAATATATATACAGTACAAATAACCTAGAAAGGGTAAACATCCTGAAAATATAAGGAGCTTCTGCAAGTTAGTGTGGAAAAAGTTGGGCAACCCCATTGAAAAATGGGCAAAAGACATTGAACAGGAACTTTGAAAGAAATCCAAATGACCAGTAAACCTTGAAAATGTATTCAACCTCCATTTTCAGAGAAGTGCAAAATAAAATCTTAGTGAGATACTACTTCACAGATAGGAAGCGAGATTAACATCTCTGGCAGTGCCAGTTGCTGGTGAGGATGTGAAATATTAGAGACCCTCATCCACTGATTGGAAATGTAAACTGGTAAAACCACTTTGAAACCAGGAGGATGCTAGCTAGTCAAGGTAAAGTCATGCATACCCTATGACCGTGTAATCCCTTTCCTAACTGTATACCCACAAAAAAGCATGATTGTATTCTTCAGGTATAATAAAAGAATACTTACGGCAATGTAGTTCTGATTGTCAAAAATCAGACTCATCAGCAGTGAAAGAAATAGTTATATTCTTTAATGGAGAATTATACAGCTACAGACAAACATGTGAATGCATACAAATGTAATATTAAAAGAAACCAAAAATGTATAAATATACATGTATGGTAATATTTATATAAAGGTCAGAAGCAAGCAAAACTCAAGGAATTCATATATTCATGGTGAAACTATGAAAAAACGCAAAGAAATTATTACATGAATATTAGGAAAGTGATGAACTCTAAGCATAAAGAAGTTATGACCAGGCAGGGGGGAATAGGAGTTTTTGCAGAGCCCTTTGTGTTCTATTTCTTGACCAGGTTTCTAATTCTATGAGTCTTCGCTCTATACTATCAAATTGCACATAAAAGTTTTATACAGATACATGTTTTCTTAATTATCTAGTGCTGCTATAACAGAAATACCACAAGTGGATGGCTTTAACAAATTTATTTTCTTACAGTTTAAGAGGCTAGAAGTCCGAATTCAGGGCACCGTCTCTAGGGACAAGGTGTTCTCGCTCTGTCCACTCTGGGGAAGGTTCTTGTCTCTTTTCAGCTTCTTTTCTTTGACTACTTGGTGATCTTCATATGACATAGCATCTGTCTTCCCCATCTGTGCTTACTAATAAATCTGCTCCTTTTATACCTCAAAAGAGATTGACACACCCTACACTAATACTGCTTCATTAACATGACAAAGAAAACCCATTCCCAAATTAGATTATAACCACTATAAACCAAAACTTGGTGCCCTCAAGTGGATTCCAACTCATAGTGACACTATAGGACAGATTAGAAATGCCCCATAGGGGAAGCAGATTGCCACATCTTTCTCTTGGAGAGTGGCTGGTGGGCTCAAACAACCAACCTTGTGGTTAGCAGCCGAGCGCTTAATCACTGCACCACCAGAGCTCCTTAAAACCACTATAGGGATTAGAATTTACAACACACAATTCAGTCCTTTACACATATTATGTTTTATACTTAAGAAAGGATTAAAAGATGAGCCAAAAGTGGCAGATAATTGTAACATATATAACCCATAAAGGATGGGCATCTAGAATGTATAAAGAATGTGGACCTTTCTTAAACGCCTTCCTAGCAGTAAGGCCTTCCATGATACTCCACTTAAAATTGCACCCCTTACATCAGGCATTCCATGTCTCCCCTTCCTGCTTCATTTCTCTCTAAAGAACTTATCACCACCTAACGTAATATTGATTACTTAATTGTTTTATTGTCTGTCTGCTTTCCCTGGAGGAGTCCCTGGGTGGTGCAAACAATTAACACTTGACTGCTAGCCAAAAGATCGGTGATTTGAACCCACCTAGAGGCACCTCAAAAGGTAAGCCTGGCTATCTGCTTCAAAAAGGTCACAGCCTTGAAAACTCGATGGAGCATAGTTCTACTCTGACACGTGGGGACACCATGAATTGGAATTGACTCAGCAGCAACTTAACATTTCTCCTGATGTAAGCTCTGTGACAACAGGGTATTTATTTTCTTTACTGTTTTCATGGTATGTGGGCAAGTACTTGTCACTTTATTGGAAATCAATAAATATTTTTTAAATGTGGAAAATCAAAAATTATTTTATAAAGCAAACAATTCAAAAGGAAAATAGGCTGAAAACGTGATCTGGCATTTTTCAGAAGAAAAAATACAAATAGCTGATACAAATATTCATTACCTTGTAGGTAATCAGGGAGATGTAATTTCAGATAATAATGGATTATGAATTTATACTCAGTTGTCAAAGATTAAGAAGTCTGACACTACCCAGTGACTGATGATACAGAATAGTGTAAGAGATCAGTTTTACAAGGCAGTTAGCTGTACAAATTAGCACAACAACCTGGGGAAAAAGGTGAGCATTATCCTCAAAGTTGAATATGATCATTCCCTGTGACCCAGCAGTTCCACTCCCAGGTTTATATAGACACACTTTTGAATATGTTCACCAGGAGTAAGAGTGTCCAGTGGCAATATCATTTGCAAGAACAAACTATAAACGAACTTAATGTCTTCCTACAAGAGAAGTTAAAAATAAATCACCGTAGCATAACATCCATGTGACAACATAGATGAACCTTGTAAACACTGTTGCTAAGTGAAATAAGCCAGACACAAAAGGACAAGTATTGTATGATCTCAGTGATATAACATATCTTGAATAGGCAAATTCACAGAGACAGAAAGAAGATAGAGGTTACCAGGAGCTGGGGGAGAGGGAAAATGGGAAATTATTGCTTAATGGTTAGAGCTTCTGTTTGGGGTGATGAAAAACTTTTGGAAATAGTGACAAAGGTTACACAATGTGATTAATGTCACTGCATTGTACACTTAAAACTGGTTAAAATGGCAAATTTTATGCTATATATATTTTACCACACTAAAAAAATTTTAATATAGTCAGCACATCAAAAACAACCATCATATATTCATATAGGGTTCTATATTAACTACATGCAACAGCAGGGATAAATCTAAGAGTCAAAATATATAGTGAAAAAGCAAAATTCAGAAGTTTATATGTTACAGTAAACCAAACAAAAACCAAACCCCTGGACTTCGGGCAACATGCCGCTATAGTCAGAAGCACCACGCCATCCCTCTGCAGCAAACATCAGAAAAACTAAGTCAAACGGAGTCACACGTCAATCCTGAAACCCTAAGCATCAAATGAAGAGATAAAGAACACAGCCAAGCACCAAATGGAATAAGGAACTGACAGAGAACAGAGTGCGAGGAGAGATACGTACAGAGGTCCCCTATCAGCTACCGCAGCACGCATCTGCCATCTTGGACTCCTATCAGAGATCAGTGAACGGGGTACAAGAAAGCAGCTTCACGGAGCTTCCAGCAGGAGACAGAACAACTGGTAACCCACGATACAGGCTTTCCCACCCCCCACCCTTCTTCACCCCCACTTAGCTATCAGCCAGGAAGCACAAGCTTCCCCCAAGTGCTGCTTGGATTCCACCCGCCTGCACTGGCCAGCTCTCTGAGTGCCATTTGTTGGCTGCTGGTGTTGCTTTTTTCTGCTTCTTTAGATTTCTTCTCACCACCTCCCCCTCCTTTCTCTCAAATACCTGGCTCCATGCGCCATCTTTGCTTTTTCCGGAAAGGCTGCAAAACACCACTGGACTGTGAAACTGCTTACTGGCACATGCCACCATGCTGGTGGGACCCCCGGGGCTTTTTTGTTTGCTCTGATTTGTTCTGTTTTGATTTGTTTTTCTTTTCTTGGCTTGGGAGCCCCTTCTAGCCAGGCAGTACCACGTGGCTTGGAAGCTAGCCCCTTACTCTGCACAGAAGCACCAGGACATCCCTGTGGGCATTTCTTTTTTCTTGTTTTTTTTTTCATTTTGTTGGTTTTCTTTTCTTTCTTACTCCCTTTTTGTCTTTCTTCATTTCCAGTTTCTCGATTTATTGATTTTTTTCTTTTATCCTTTTTCTTTTTTTTCATTTTTGTTTTTCCCCATTACTCAGTCTCTCGTCTCCAATAGCAAGCTTGCTTAGCACTCTTTTTTTGTTTGTACGTTTTTGGCTAGTGTTCCTCTCTCCTCTCTCTCATCTTTCCCATACCCATCTTAGCTCCACACATCACAGTCTACCCCCTCCTTCCTGCCTACCTGCACCGTGCGCTGAACATCACACTCCCAAGTAGCACAGGCACGGCCTACTGGAACCTACCCTGCACTGATTCCCGGTCCACACTGTTTCAGCTTTGGTACGTGCCACAAAAAACCTATCCCAGCAACTCCCCTTCAGGTAGACCTGCCCTGCTGTACCATACCCGAGTGACTGACACTGCCCGTTGCAGAAGAGGGTGAAAAGTATCGCGCCCACATACGAGCAAATAACAACACACAGCCTGCCTGCTCAGACATAACCAAATAAAACAAAAAAGCAGGACAAAACAAACAAATCTACAATCAATAAATGAGGAAAAAAAACACTGAATGTCCCAGAGACAGCAGACAATATCAAAACATTTAAAAAACAGGACAGGATGGTTCCAGTAGGAGTCCAAAATAAAACACCAGATGACCTTCCAATAGAAGAAAAGGCCTAACTGATAGGGAATTCAAATCTCTAATATACAGAACTATCCAAAACTTGCAGCAAAAGCAGACAAAAATGAGGAAAAAATAGACAAATTCATGGCAAAGGCAGACAAATTCATGGAAAATACAAAAAAATTAGAAGAATTCAAGAAAATAATATAGGAACAAAATGCTAAAATAAATTCACAACTAGAAATCATA